TGTTAAGGCCGTCGGAAAAATCTTCAAACGGCCGTCAAAGGATACGGTCATTGTTCCAAATATTTAAACCACGAAAATACCGTATAAGGGGTCTTTCTTTTTCTATTAGATTAAAGTGAGGGTCTCAAATACCCCAAAGAATATCAATCGCTAAAAAAGTGGTGTCGTGCCATCGTTAATAAAACTATTTTAAGTGCTGTAATCATGGTTACAAAACAAAATATGTTTAATAAGCGATGAACGGACGCGCTTTAGTTTTTCTTCCTAATCATACGTTCCAATTGTAGGTATTCATCAGTTCATGGTTTTGGTCTTTTATATTTTTGATAATCCAGTACAAGGTTTTTGAAAAGTGCCGGAAAGTCAAATTCTATGAAAAAGCCGCAAATGATTAGATGTGAATGATAATTGTTGGAACACAAACGCAGTAGAATTGACATTAGAAAACATAAATATTTCTAGTTTAAGATCGTGTTTGCCTAAAATCTTTTGCTTTTTTAGCTGGTGGCTTTCTCTCGGGCAACCAGGATGAAGAAATGATACAGAAAAAGGCTAGGGGGAATAAAACAAAACATATTTCACCTAGTCATCCTTACATTTTTTATTTCTACAAACTGACTTTGTAACATAATCACCAGATGAGATATATCTACAAAATGGACCTTGGGCGTGACAGCTATCCCTATTTTAAAAAACGCGCACAAAGAAGCAAGAAAAACCTGAACAGCATTTCGCTAAGCTCTAATTTAAGAGTGATTATTAAATGCTAAATAGACTTGATCGAGACACTGGTGTCTTTTGTAAAAGTTGGCACTGTATCATTGTTGTGCCATAAACATGACAGTTCAGAAATCCACTGGTCTTATTTTCATCTCGGTTCTCTTGAGGGAGTAATGATGTCCTTTCCAGTCTTTCCAGTTCACTCCATCAGCATAGGAGGAGTGATTGCCACGAAGATATAAACCATTGAGATTTGAATTGTGACAAGTGTTGTACCACCATGCTCCTTTGTACAGAACAGCGCAGTTGTGACCTCCCTTATTGTCATTATCTTGATCTCTAGTGGTGAACGGCATACCCCGATGCCAAGAAAGAGAGTCACCAGAATTTCCTGACAAAATGAGCCGCACTATGAGTATTACGTTTGACCAACATGCGGCAATGAGCAGTTCGTAATTCAAAATAAATCTTGAAATATCAGATAAGTATAATTTAACGATAATGGTATCACTAAACGTGATAATGCCAATAAATATGTTTGCCGAGACACTCATCAGAGTTGGATTAGTTCGTCAGGTTAACTGCGCATGATCCACCGGCGAAATACCTTGGGACTTACTGATGTCAGGTATGCGCTGTCTAAGATTATTGTATTTCGATGAGCTGAGGTTACTTTTTTGTCTTCCCAAGCCATTTATATAAAAGAGTTTACGCATATTTACATTACTCAGCACTCTCCCCCCCCCCCCCCTCTTTCAGAATGACTAGAAAAGAAGCAACGAAATGACAGTTCTTATCAACGTCCGGTATGCGTTGTTCAAGATTGCATATCGATGAGCTGAGATTACTTTTTTGTCTTCTAAAGTTATTGACGTAAAAGATGTTAAGCATATTAAAATTACTCAGCACTCTCCTCACCCCCTCCCCCTCCTTTTTGAATGACTAGAATAGAAGGGACGAAATGACAGTTCTACCTGAATAAGAACCAAGGATCAGCTTGTACTTGTCTTTCTCACCCATAACACCAGACAAGTTATACTCGGCATAAGCTGTGTTCCCTTCAAAGTCCTCCAAGTCCACACGCAGCATGCTCTTATTATCTGAGGTCAGCCGGTGAATCTTGTCCAGTCCCAACCAAAATTCACTTTTCAGGTCACCAAAGCCATGTTTGTAGTCGTTCCAGGAGCGGTTGAAATCAACCGAGCCGTTCAGTCTTTTCTGGAACACTGCCCACCCACCACCGGCTGTTGTTTGGTCACAGAATACATCAAAGGCAGGCAGATTATCAGGTTTGATGGTGTACACGCCGTCAATTGGTTTACCCGCGGATTTGTAGATTTCTGCGCAGTTCCCCTTGACTGAAAATCAGAAAAAAAGAAACAAACAGAAAAATAAACAAAAAACCCACTTAAAATGGTTTGGATGTTGAGTGCATTTTGTTTGCTTTCCTGACTACTGCTCTGGCTGATAAAACTTGATTATAAACATTAACTAGTACCATTTCTGTTTCTTTAATATTTACCAGCTATATTCATGTAAAGTTACAGTAATGGGATTTTCCTTTTAAGCTTTACTTCAGTGGTTACTGTTTTGCTCTTGAAGTCAAGTTTGGGACTTAAGTGAGTAACTCCTCGCGTACTAAACGAGAGACTAGCCCACACAATCCAGCCATTTCACCTTCACTGATTTGGCAGGTTTCTCCAGTGAATCTTTCCCGACAGACACAACGAAAACCTTTATAGGTGAATCCAGCTTGACAGATGCCCCTGTTTAAGCACGGGCTGCTGCTGCATGGATTCTGTTGACAAAACAAAGTAAACTTTTGTGCAGATCTTCCTTATGCCAAGAATAATATCGCTTCAGCCTAAGAAAATGAAACAATCTCTTCTACCATCTTAGTTTCTTAAGAATGTAAAATGTTACCTCGATTGCAAGATATGTGTAACCCGGATTGTTCACGAGAAGGAATGTAGCATGGTTTTCCTCCGTGGCGTTATTCAACTCGCATTTTTGGTTTCCTCCTGCAACAGGTCCAACATTGATGGACACACAATTAGGCTCCATCAAACACATTACTTTGCAGCTCCCTTCGTTTGACACCTCTGCACTTTTGATCGCGTGATTTTTCATGGCCATGTTCGGTATTGCGTCCTTGAATTTGATGTGTCGACTAGCGTCGTCTATGGTAGGCAAAACAAATATATGGTCTAGTTTTCACTCACACGAGAAAATTTCTTATTTTCACTGATGAAAAAGGCACATTAAACCACTTTATTTCAAAACTTTACTGCATGAGAACCCTGACGAGTTTTCCCTAAAGGTGATTCTCATCTCTTGAAAATTCAACGTAACTGGGAGGCTTTCATTACCAAAAATTGATCTTTGACTGTGAATTAATGAGCGGAAGAAAACATATAAGAAAACTATATCAAGAATATTCTCATAGCGTTCATTACCTTACCTCGATATCTGTGAATCCTTTGTTTTAGTTCATCATTTTGAGCCATTTATGTGCATGTGGTGAGGTCTTTTTGAAATTGGACTTTTTTTGTATCTTTTATTCCATGATAGAAGACATTTTGAGTTAGATAAAGCGGATTGTCTGCTTAAAGATTATTTGCTTCGATCAGCAGGTAGCATGTGCAGTTCGTGTCATGGTTTTGAGGAAACGACACCAGAAAGAGGAAACACAAAAATTTAAAAAGGGATCTATACTCACCGGTGCAACAGAAACATGGCGGGAGAATAATTCCAAGGCAGATATAGAGAATGATAATGCTCGGTTGAAGAGAAAACTTGAACTGCATCGCTATAAATAAATAATTGTAAATTCAAGGTAAAAAATATGATAGTTAGCGTCCCCAAATAGAAACCATCCTATTTTCCTTTAAATTTGAATGTTGACAATAGTTAGACAGATGTTCGGCATTATTTGCTAGCTTTGTCTACTTAAAGGGACTCTTAATTAGCACAACATTTCGGAGGCAAATACTTCGGTGAGTTATGTTATTGGTCTAAAACACGTTGTTATGCTAACAGGCTTGTGTCATCCCTTGCGCAAAAAAGTGTGAATTTCTTCATATTAAATATTTATTTTCGACGGTGAATTAACCACTGCAAAAGGCGCAAAAAGACGAAAATAATAGACCGTTGTTGTTTGTCTACATTGGAGAATTTTTAAATTCTTACTTTACCTTGTAAATTTCATCTTATTCTGATAAGCCATAATATTTCATAAAGCTTCGGAGAAGAACGAAATAGATCACATCATCCTTATCGGAGGTGAAAGGAGTTTATCGATATGTTTATTTTCAGCCTGTTTAACTTTGAACTTGCGGCAGTAAAGTTAAGAGCAAGAAACAAATTTTTGCAGACTTGCTACCGACAAAGGTGTTAGATCACTTCTGAAATGCAAAATGTTAACAATTTATCCTTTTTTATCTCAAAATATTATTTAGTACGATAGAACAACATTGCACATTCTTAACATGAAGATTACCTTTGTAGCAACTTTAAACTGAACAATGCGATAAAATGCATGTAAAGTACTGAGGCCTAAGTTTTTTATGGCTCGTTTTGCTCATAGTAGTTAGCATTAAACATCACCCGATTTTATCTTACTTAGACTGGTCGCAAGCATTCTATGACTTTCGGATGGTATTTGAGAACTTCAACCTCGAAACTTTCAAATTTGTAACAACTTTGACCAGAAGGGTGTGACAGAATGTGAAATATCGTGTGGCTTAATTTACAGAATTTAACACAAAATTTTCCTCGATCATTTCTGAATTCAGCGCAATTGGTCTCGGTAAGAAAGGCTTGGTCTAAGAAATATGGATAACTAGCTCACAGAGATATGCTTCTTACCTTCTGAGCCAAAGTGTTTTCCGTACTTGGTTTTGCTCTTGGGGGATATCAATAGTGAAAATTTTATGGCGTCGTGCCTTCCTTTAATGTATAGAACTGTTTGAACCTCTGTAACTATGGTTACAAAACAAAACCGCTGTTTTATACGCCACACTCCTTCTTCCTGTCCAGCTGTTCTACTTGTTGTAAGTCATCAGGTCAAAGCTTTTGTGTTTAAATCTAAATGACTGCGGAGTCTCATCTTACTTCCACTGGATATGACAGTCAATTAATATTTCTATGAAAATCCAATAGAATGTTTTGAAGAACATATATCGCAAGTCTAACTCTTAAACAAAGCTGCAAATTATTTGGTCAAGACACTTTCAGCGAGACATGTAAGAAGTTTTAGAATTACACAACGTGGTCCTATTTTCCTTGGTGATATGTGTTATGACAGGTTATGACAAGTTCACGTTTTTCAAATCAAAAATTTATGAAAATATGAATTTTTATAAGTACACAACGTGTCGCATTTTCCTCCGGAGTTAACCACAGCATTATATATAAGGTTATGGTTTTCCGATTTAGAAAGTATCTTGCAAAAAATGTTCTCCTCAAAATTATTCTTATTTTCCTGGGCAACCAAGATTAAGAAATAATATCATGAAACTAAGATCCGAAGCTAAAACCAAAAACAGCAAAATGATAGGAAATAAGCGACATGCAAAACCACCGAAATGACCAAAACAAAAAGATTGAAAGGAAATGGACCTAACGACCAAAACGAAACGACCGAAACGACCAAAATGGTAGACAAAAAAAATTGATAAAAATAAATGAATGCCCAGGGGTGTCAGTCTCCAGTTGTCATATTCATCTCATTTAGATTATGATCTACTCCTAATCTGCCTCATCTCTCTATTACCATCAGCTTGGCGTGAGGCGTCGAGGAAACCATATTGAGAAAAAAAATCAATAAAAAACTCACGTACATAGATGTTGTCAATGAATACCGTTATCTGTTTTTTCTTCTCCTTATGCTTTGGTATTCAATTTGGCCGGCGTTTCGTCCTAAAAACTACAAGAAAAACTAAAGTGTTTCGTCCTAAAAACTAAAGTGTCTAATTTAGTTTTAAGTTGCTCGCGTGGTGGAGAAAATATAAAGTTTCGTGAGACGGCCATAATAATTTAAAAGCCTTAAATGTGAGAGAATATCTGAAGTGAAATCTACATTTTCTGCGGTCGTTTCGTTTTGGTCGTTTTGCTTATTTCGTTTTGGTCGTTTCGTTTTGGTGTTGCGGGTCTAAGTTCATGCCGAAATTGTAAACGATATCACCACAAATTAAGCATTTTGACTCAATATCTGTCCGCTGACAAAAGTGATCTTACTCGAAAGTGCCTAGAAACTCAGGAAAAATGGCGATAAAATTCAAGGGGTACATGTCAGCTTTAATTTTTTTTTCACCCAGGAAGCCATGGGCCTAAGTAATGATAAAATATACAATGTTAAAGAGGATGTGATATACTGTTACAAGTAGGCGTTGTACGATACTGTACTTCTAATCGTGCGCGAAAATCTTGTTTGTGGTAGGGTACTCTTGTTATTAGAGGCTGTTATTAACGACAAGGTAACTTAGGTCTATCAGCTAAGTTGATTATGCAAATGTCCCCGTTAAGGGTTCCTAACGCTACCATTTCGAACGCCCCTCAACAGAACTTTATTAATAACATTATTTTCATCGTCGCTCGACATAATTCCTGTGAATACCTTGACCCTCGTGCAAAAAATGGAAAGTAGCTTACAAATATATTTTCTTACCTTCTGACTGACAAAATGTTTGTTGTACTTGATATCGTGTTTGTGTGTGTCAGAAGTGAAAGTCGTGTCTTGTTACCCTCTAGAGAAGTGTTTAAAGTGCTGTAACTATGGTTACAAAACAAAACGGTTTAATGAGAGGTGAAAATAAACGCCACAGATCTTCATCCTGTTCAGCTGTTCTACTTATTTGTAGTCCTCAGATCGTTGCTTTGGTGTTAACTGTGAGTGACTGGTTTTCTCTATGTAGCATTGGACAAGTATAATAGTCAATGAAATACCTCAATAAAAGTCCAGCAGATGAGTTTTGAAAAAGTCAGCAAATCTAACTCTAAAACAAAGCTGCAAATGATGAAATGTGATCAGAAATTGTAGGAACCTAAACACAGTGAGACAAAGTCTCGAGCGAAATTTGAAACAAGCCTATAACGTCATAGTCAACCCATTAATTTTCACGTAATTATATTGGCTACTTTGCAAAAAACATTATTTTTGTAGAGTCTAGTAAAATATTAAAAGGTGGTCGCAACTGCGCATCTGCATCAGATAAGTACTTGTTTTTTACGAGCGGTTTCGCGTGATATGAGCAGGGTAGTTAGCATTAAACATCACCCGATTTTATCTTAGTTAGATTGGTCGCCAGCATTCTATGACTTTCGGATGGCAATTGAGAACTTCAAACTAGAAAAAATAAGTTTATAACAACTCTGAGCAGAAGGATGTGACAAAATGTGAAATACCGTGTGGCTGAATTGACAAAATTCTATACAAAATTGTTCTTGATCATTTCTGCAATCAGCGCCACTGGTCTGCTCTAGCTGCCTAACACTTCCTTGTGAATTAGTTGCAAGAATTTGGTGTTAGATCAAAACAAAAACTTTTACCTGATACAATTGAATATTCTCTTTACCTGTTTGCTGGATAGTAAATGGATATTATGGGGAGAGGTTACATGTGGATCACTTAAGTCCTCTGGTTGGTATGTTAACTAATATGCAGGTTTTTATCATTTCCTTGCTGTTGTTTATTATGTTCAGAAGAGAGGTGAAACCCCAACCAATTGACACACCTAGCCCTACATTGCACTTTGTTTGCAATGGTTTTTTTTTCAGCCATTTTGAACTGTATATTTTTTCTTCTTTTTCAATGATCACAAGCGATCCAATGGGCCACTTTCGATATATCAAAATTCTAAAGTGGCTCCGAGGCTAGGGGGAATAAAACAAAATATATTTCACCTACTCATCCTTACATTAGGTATTCCTACAAACTTACTTTGTAACACAATCACCTGATGAGCCGTATCTACAAAATGGACCTTGGGCGTGACAGTGTGTTCTTATGATCAAAAGTGCAATATGATTGTCAATGACAGTACAAGGTATTTACTTTAACAAAGGCTAAGAAAATACAAATAAAAGCAACATATGAAGCATTTTAGAATCATCGACATTACGTTATTGTATTCCAGTGTACACTAGAACTTCAAATATTTGTTTTTCTGATAGCGTTCTTTAGAGTCAAAACATTGGGTATTTGTTTGGGGTTTCGTTAGATAGGAGGAGCAGAGGAGGCATGCTGGCCATGATAATACAAGCCAGTGAGATTCGAGGATAACTCGTGTGAATATTTCAGACCCACCTAAAACTTTAGGAAGACAGGGTTTTTTCAGCCGCTGCCCCCAGGCTATAAAATGTCTCACCAGTAAACCTTTAATTGAGTCCATTAGTTTCTGTTTTTTGAGAACAAATTAAAGACGCATTTTTCCACAGCTACTTATGATTAACTGTCAATTATAAAATAATTCAAATACTACGCGCGCCCTGATTGGCCATAAAACCATTTTACATGAACGTATGTAAACACGGTTTTCGTTCCTCTTTCATCAGTTATTTTTATCTCGTGTTCTCCCAACCTCCCGCGTGTTTACGTCAGGCTATGTAAACACGGAAACCATTTTACATTTTTTCATTTACAACTATGATGAGGAGCTTTTTTGATGTACTGCTATATAGATTAAGTAATTATTACTATTATGATGATTATTATTACCGGTTAACTAGCCGATTCTACACAATCAACTACTCCTATTTTGAAAAACACGCACAAAGAAGCAAGAAAAACCTAAACAACATTTCGCTAAGCTCCAATTTAAGAGTGATTATTACATGCTGAATAGACTTGATCGAGAAACTCGTTTTTTCGGTTGAGGTGGTAAACATGACAGTTCAGAAATCTGCTGGTCTTATTTTCATCTCGGTTCTCTTGAGGGAGTAATAATGTCCTTTCCAGTCTTTCCAGTTCACTCCATTAGCAAAGGAGGAGTGCTGGCCACGAAGATATAAACCGTTGAGATTCGATTTGTGACACTCCTTGTACCACCAGGCTCCTTTGAACGTATTGGCGCACTTGTATTCTTCATTGTCATTATCTTGATCTATAGTGGTGAACGGCATACCACGATGATAAGCAAGAGAGTCACTTGAATTTCCTGACAAAACGAGCCGCACTATAAGTATTACGTTTGACCAACAATGAGCCGTTCGTAATTCGAAAGAAATCTTGAAATATCACATAAGTTATTTAGCAATAATGATGTGGAGTAAAAGTATTATCAATAATATATCTATGATTCATGTCAAAGATTCTAGGGATTGAATCACTCAATATGCTATATATTGCCAATAAATAAGTTTGTCGAGGCATTCACCAGAGTTGGATTAGTTCGTTAGCTTAACTGCGCATGATCCACCGGCGAATACCTTTGGACTAATCAACGTCCAGTATGCGCTGTTCAGGATTGCATATCGATGAGATTACTTTTTTGTCTTCCAAAGATATCGATGTAAAGGGTGTTAAGCATATTTACATTACTCAGCACTCTCCTCCCCCCCCCCCCCCCTTACCTCTAAGAATGACTAGAATAGAAGCCACGAAAGGATAGTTCTACCTGAATAAGAACCAAGGATCAGCTTGTACTTGTCTTTCTCACTCATAACACCAAACAAGTTATACTCGGCATAAGCTGTGTTCCCTTCAAAGTCCTCCAAGTCCACACGCAGCATGCTGTTATTATCTGAGGTCAGCCGGTGAATCTTGTTCAGTCCCAACCAAAATTCACTTTTCAGGTCACCAAAGCCATGTTTATAGTCGTTCCAGTGGCGGTAGAAATCAACCGAGCCGTTCAGTCTTTTCTGGAACACTGTCCAACCACCACCGCCTGTTGTTTGGTTACAGAATACATCAAAGGCAGGCAAATTATCAAGTTTAATGGTGTACACACCGTCAGTTGGTTTACCTGCGGACTTGTGGATTTCTGCGCAGTTTCTTTTGACTGAAAATCAGTAAAAACAAACAAAAAACTTGAGTGGGACTTGAGTGAGTAACTCCTCGCGTACTACGAGAGACTGGCCCACACAATTCAGTTATTTCACCTTCAACTTG